TGTGCCCTTGGTCTCGACTGTGTACCGTGGAGTAAGTAAGTAGGGTGTTATGCCGTCCGCGGGAGCATCGCGCTCCCCGGAGCACACCATATCTCAACACACACACACACGCGCGCGAGCGCGCGCGCATCTTCCGGTCAGCCCCTCCCTCCCTTCCCTTCCCACCTCGATCAAGCAAGCAGCCGGCGCCGCTGCGTTGTCAACTCGTGTAGAGGTGTGTAGGTGTGTGGTGCGTGTGAGTGCGTGTAGTTAGCATCCTGGGTGGTGTATGGAAAAATCATGTTAGCAGAGAAAGACGAGAGGAAAAAGCAAAGGGCCTGGCCCAGGCCCGGCCCAGCATCGCCAAGGCGCCCCCAACGTGAGATTTCCCTCTCGGCTGCCGCTGCACGAGAAAGAAGGCGGGCGGGCGATGATGGGCGGAACATCTCGCCTGTTGAGCCTGCGTTACATTCGCAACCCTTTCCCACTTATTTCCCCCCTCACCTTCCCATTTCCTGCCCCCAACTTTTTCCGGCCTGCTACCTCTCTGGCTGGCTGGCTCTGGCTTTTGCTGGGCTTGCCCGCCTGGCCTGTCTCCGCAGTAGGTTGTCTGCCAGCTAGCCCTTGCGCCTGTACGCAGTAGTCTGTGTCTGTGGGCAAGAGATGCGCCGTCGCCGCCGCCGCCGCCGCGCCTCCTCGGGAAGTAATATGTCAGATGTACTGTACCCAACGCTAGACCTGGAGCAGGGGAGGTGGTGAGGGGAGGGGGTTCAATGTCGAATATTGGCTGTCAAAGTACAGCATACCTCGCATGCAGAAATGCGCAGTATGACAAAATAGTGCGTATCCCGCTGAGGGGGCACGGGGGTTGGGGGGATAGGAAGAGCTGAACGTGAGGCAGCGGCGAATGGGGGTATCGCCAAAACACAGCTCCGCCACCGATACGTCGATGCTCATTAAGCACTGGGAGCCAGACGTATGTACTGCCTACATCAGTACCTTTTGCCGCCGTCGTCTCTGCAACCGATCATCCTTCCCACACCGGGGAAGTTCGAGGCAAATTGAAGGAAACGGGCGAGCCAACTGATGCTGCTGATCCTCAGCAGTTGGGAAGTACAACAGGACGGGCCCAATCGTTCGCCGTCAAGACCACAGGATGCAAGCAAGTATGATTCGCATATGTGCCAGTCGCGCGGCAGTAGTACTACAGCGATTAGCATGTAAGGCAATGCAGCGGCCCTGGCCTTGGGAGCTGGCTGCTGCGGCTGCTGCTGCTGCTGTACGTTGCAAGACTTCCCGTCAAATGCCGCCGCCCATTGTTAGATTGTCTTGTCTTTGTGCGCCGACTTTGCACATTGTTATTTTGACTTTCTTTGGCTTCGATTCTTTGTCATTTGTTCATCTCTGTCTGTAACCAAAGGGACGGCTGCACTGTGCCCTTTTCGTCTTCGGCTTGAAGCTAAGCAAAAATCTTTGCTAACCTCGGCGCACTTTGACTTCTGACAGCCGCCCTCCTCTACTTTTTCTAACGCACAGTCGTCGCCGGTACGTAGACGGCGCATTCCAGTGCGTCTTTTATTCTCTCTTCCTTCCCCTCTCTGGCCCAGGAGGGGGGTGAGGTATCTTTTTTCTCGCTGTCTTTTTGGATTTATCCCGAACTTAGCTCCCGAGGCGAGACAACCTTTTTGTCTGGGACACGACCGGTGTGAGCCAGCAGGGTGGAATGATAATAGTTATGACAACAATATTGAATGATGTCGGAATTGGGCCTGGCCGGCCTTTTTTCGAGATATCCACCTGTGTGTGAATCCCCCGCTCTCGCTCGTCGTCGTAGTCTTCGCGTCCGGAGCCCGCTGGTGGCCATGACCCAGGTCTATCCGCGAAGTGGATGCCGTATGGAAATAACAACCCGCTCCTTCCCTACCAGGCCTCGCAGCTGTCCCCGGGAAGAGAGATAGGGTCGATGGCCTGCATGCGCGTACGGACGGGTATGCATGCTGCTCGTACATGGGGTGGCGGCGGCGAGATCACGGATCACAGAGTTGCCCCGGGGGGAGACCTGCTTGCTTGCTCACGGACACCGTAGAGCTTGAGGAAACAGAGCAGGTATCGAGAAATGGCTCCTGCGCACCTGGACCGCAGCAAGCAGGCGCATGCTGGGCAGATCATGTAACTGTCAGGGACGGGGTCAAGCGAAAGTGACGTGGAATTTCGGGCACGAGCTGGAGTTCCCTTGCCGCCGCTTGCGGGTGGCACTGCCTTGTCAGCGCCTTCAAGTTGATACTGGATGAATCGTCGAGTCGGGGTAGAACTTGCTCGCTTGAAACGGTTCGCCCCCCTCTCGTTGACCCTTGCGGCGGTCTTTGGCGTCCCTGATTGATCTCACATGAGAGAGAACGGGAGCTGCGCGAGGGAGCTTGGGGCTCGGCGGAGGGTGATTGACTTTTTCCTGTCTCGCCAAAGTCCTCCCTGCCCTTCAGAACCCTGGAACCTTGCGGTTCTGTGAGATGACTTTGTCTTGTCTCGACTTTATCCCGACTTGACGAGGTTCTGGGCCGTTGGATGAAGTCGTTTTCGGGGACGGGATTACGTAGTTGAGCAAGCGGTGCAGTGCAGTAGCAGCCAGCACGCGCAGTGCAGCGTTGAAGAATGCGCGGCGCCTAGTTGCTGTGCAGCAAAAGCGCGCAGAATATGCAAGCCTCGGTGCGTTTTGTTGATTTCAGCTTTCTTTTTCCCCGGGAGTTTGGTCGCTTGTCATTTCTCACAGTCTGCAATGAATGGCATGTTAGGTCGTTTGATGTATGTAGGCGTCGCAGGGCATGGCACATGCCGCCGTCGAGGTTGCTGTCAGGGGCAGCAGGGCAGCATCCTTTACCTCCCGTGCCCTGTCCCAGCGAATGTAGCCGCGAAACACTGCGGCAGGAGGAGGGGAGAGAGAAGTCTCGGAAGGCAGGTACAAAGTAGTGGGCAGCGGTGCGGCGGGCAGCGGGCATCGTGCATGAACTCCTGGTACGGCATGATAAGAACCTAAGGGTGTGTTATACATGTGACGGAGCACCGGTGTTTCTGTCGAATGTCCAAGGGTCGCCCCAGGGGAACAGCAGTCTTGATGCAGGAGAAGAGGAGGGAAGAAAGGAAAGAAAGGTTCGCAGGCAAGGAAGGCTGCATCTGGTGGTGCAGTTGGCGTGCATGCGTGTGTGCGTAAGTTGGTCCGGGAAGAGGCGAAGATGGCAGACATGGGAGTCCCCGAGTTGGTGCAGCAGTGAGCGAGCCGACGATGTGGCAGACCAGGTCCGGGGCGGAGGAAACGACCCTTTTCGTTTGGTGTTTCCCGGCGGTCGCCGCGCGGCAGAGGTTTGGGGATCTAAGTCAATTGTTGGGCCGGAGCTAGGTGTACCTGAGATGAGAGAGCTTGGATGCTACAAGCTTTGCGTCTGGCACCTCTCTGGACGGCGGACGGGCGAATGGGTGTGGGAAGAGGCGAAGCTTCGGTGATTCTCTGAAGCAGGGGAATCCGGCTGTGTAAGCTTTTTCTTTAAGGTGCAAGCTTCGGCCGATGGAGTTGGAGAGGGCGTGATGTGCATGACTGGCGTCGTCTGTGGGGGATGCGCTGCCAGAGCGGGCGACATTGGAGACCGATTGGGTGGCTTTGTTTTTTTTGCCGCAGCGAGGACACCCCCAACTCGTCCAGGTTCGATGTGCGAATGCAGTTTACGGGTGGATGCGACGATCAAAGGGACGGAACTCTGTTTCCTCTTTTTTTGGTTTTGGCGATATCATACGCCATTGTACTCGGTACTCAGTATTGTCGCTGGAGTGTTTCTTGGTGGTGGTGGTGGTGGTGGTGGTAGAAGATAGGAATAGCCTTCTGTTGGGGGTATTGTTGGGTTGTGGAAGCCACATCTGAGGCCCAAGTCCGGTATTCCTCCGGAGAAAAAGACAAACATCTTGACCTTGGCGGACTCTATCTCTCTCTCTCTCTCTTTCGGGGTGTCTTCGCATTCGCACCTCACTGCGTCTCGACCTGACGTCCGTCTTCACACTGACAGTTCCGGTTCCGGTTCCGTGGGCTCGTGTGTGTGCGCGGGTGGGCATGTGCGTCGGTCGATTGGTTGAGTGTGGGCTCGTGGGAAGAAACAATGGTTGTTTAGGGAGAGGGGCGTGTCGGTCCGGTGTTTACATTAGGCTGATGATGGTGTATCCGTACCTGCAGGAGTCTCCGAGGTTGAAGCTGAGGTGAAAGGTGAAAGGTCCCCTATGGTCGAAGCGTTTCGGTCATGCTTTTGGCTTCCAGCTTGCGGAAGGTTCCGAGGGACTTTGACGTGCACATGCGCGCATACGTACGGCGTACTGCGTACTGCGTACAGGTAGCTGTGAAGAGTATGCAGGGCAGCGCAGCCGGAGGTGCCTCACGTTGTTGGAATTGGGAGCTTGGGTAGGTAGGTGCGTCGTACACTGACTTGAAGGAAGACACCCGGGCCTGGTGAGAGGCACTACCACGCAGCACCAAGTTACAAATAACCTCCCAGGTTGTGGAGAGAAACACACCGTCAGGTCGTGTCTCTCACCGGGACTGGGACTGCCTTCGTTCGTTGCGCTGCACCTGAACCGGGCGCTTCCCTTCTCTTCCCTTCCCTTCCCTTGGAGGAGGAGGAAGGAACACACAAAACAGGGTCACGTGCCCCGCGCCTTCTTCGCGCCTGGATTGGCCCTGATGGTCCTGCACTTTGTGCCTCCCGTGTTGCGGCTACGCGTCCCTCGCGTTTGGGAGGCTGTCTTTGTTTGGTGGGAAATAGAGGATACACTAAAAAAAAAATCCAAAGTAATCGTCATTTCGACCAGTCGTTTCCCATTCCGACCCATGGACTTGGACGACGTCGTAGTCGCAGTGTTGACGTGCATGAACTTCTTATTCCCTACCTAATATCAACTGCACGTCGTCCAACCCGACCCTTTGTGCATCAAGGCAGAAGGAAAAAACGAAAAAGCAAAGAGGCGTTCCTCCTGCTACATACAACACGATGCCGCCGCCAGAAAAGACTCCCCTGCCGCCGGCCGCGAAGCCGCGCTTCAGCAACAACTTCGATCCGTACAATTCCAGCGCTACCGGCCATCAACGCCCGGAGACGGCACCCGGCGCGACTCTCGGGTGGCGGGACAGCCGAGCCCGCAAACTCGCCGGGCAGTTCGCTGCGGGCCACTCCGGTGGCGTCCGTATGAGCGATACCTACGGCGCTGGGAGCGAAGACTACGATGAGAAGCTCAAGATGGTTGTGCCCAAGAATGTCAGGGCACGGGCAACGACAAGCGTTGCCGATATGCTCGCGAGGCCGGGGCTGATGAGGAGCGGCTCGTCCATCTCTGACGCTGGATCCGCTACTTCAACGGCATCAGCCGTGAGAGGAGATTCAACAAATGAGGAAGCCATTATGGAGGCCCGCAGGAGGGAGGACGAAGAAAAGGAGGAGAAGGCAGCTGTTGGACGTGGCTTGTTCGAGGGCGTAACTGTCTATGTCAACGGCAGCACGCATCCCATTATCTCGGATCACAAGCTCAAGCGCGTGCTGGTCGAGAATGGCGCCCGCATGTCGATACACCTCGGCCGGAGGCAGGTTACGCACGTCATCGTGGGCAGGCCGGCGGGAGTCGGGGCTGGAGCCGGTGGTGGCCTCGCAAGTGGCAAGCTGGAGAAGGAGATTCGCAAGGTGGGCGGCTGTGGAGTGAAGTATGTTGGAGTCGAGTGGTATGTTCTCCTGGTCATCTCTTCTTCATACCTGCAAACATGTACTGACAGCTTCGGAAAGGGTGCTCGAGAGTCTAAAGGCAGGAACTCGGTTATCGGAAGCACGGTTTGCACCGCTGAAGGTTGCGAGAGAGGGGCAGAAGAGCGTCTACGGCATGTTTGGAAAGCCACCCTCGACAGGTCCTTCCGCTGGTTCGGCTAGTTGATGACCGATCATTGTTGCGATTGCATATGAGGCGCATGAAGTTGGATGACGGTTTCTACATGGGTTTGAAGGCTACTTTGCATACGCACATGGCATTTTGGGGGACTGGAGACATCATGATACCAAGCATAAGATGGGCAGGCAAACTCTTTCTAGCATACGAAGCGTTCTTTAGCATCTTCTATCCCTTGCAGATTCGACATTCTCAATGTTCCAGGCCCATCCAGGGGCCTCTCAGGCTGGTTCGTGCAGCATCACTATCCCTTGCCGGCTGTGCCCATCGAGAACAAAGGGAAAACTACACCGCAAGGATTCCCGTCCGATTCTCTGCGCAACACAACACCGCGGAGATCTTGCCCGGCCCGGAAAACATGCTCCTCTTCACAGCATCAGTGTGGTGACACAAAGGCTCGACGACCCGTAGACCCAAACATGGTACGACGGGACGACTCGACACGGGCGGGCGGGCAAGCATCAGGTCGGTCATTTTTTTCTCCTGTCGCGGCACCGGATGCAAGCCGTTTCGTTGTCGGGGAAAGGGAAAATGGGGAGCGTGCTTGCGGACTGGCCTTGGTTACACCGCCAGGGATCCTAGGAGAGGGGACCCAGGGGAGGAGACACGGACTACGAGGCCATGGTCCAAGTGAAGGACTGGGTGTTTTCTTTGCGGTCTGTATCACGCAGCTGCGGGCGCGTGGTACTCGTAGCGGACGGGTTCTGATGTTGCACCGTCCGTATTTTCTTCTCAAGTGACATCCGCTGGACGAGGACACGGGATCTTGGAGTGGGTTCAGCACCTCGTAACGTTATTTCCAAGTTTTGAATGGGAAGAAATGACTGGATGCGTGTCGAGGGCTCGTGGGGGGCGAGCGAGGGCTTTGTCAGACATGTCGAACGAGGAGAGCAGATTTAAGGGTGAGCCGTCTCGGCGTGGCGGTGGGTTGTGTGGTTTTGCGCGACAACCGTTGCGTAAAAGCCTCTTGTGATTCCCTGGGCCGGACACTCCCGTTGGAAAAAAAGTTGGGACACAGGATTCGATATGTAATCATGTCCTCCTGGTCTGATGCTGGGGCATGCGGTGCCAGCTCAGCAGTGCCGTCATGTTGGGAAGTCGCACAGCATGGCCGGGACGTGTTAGCCGCGCTGCCGCAAGCGCAGGATTATGTGATATTATAGATGGTTACGTGTGTGCTGTTTGTCGATCGGTGGTAGTTCGATACTCTTGTACCTGGACATGTAGTCTCTGCCTCTTGTGTGCTGATTCGATGAAGTTAAACTTGTCACATAGAGTACTGCTGCCGTGGCGCTTTGGAACGACATACGAAACTCCTGCTTGTCACTTAGATGGGAATTCGTTGGGGAACCCAGGGAAAGCATCAAAAGATTTGCGGGATGATCTTCTCAGGTAGGCGTTTGATAGTTCATGATTTCTTCCGTACGTGCATCAAAGCTGATGGACGCGAAGTAGACAAGTAGTCAGAGCTTGACAATGGACAGAATAAATGGCGAGTCCAAATACATCAGCTACCATCAGTTTGAAGAGTCACAAATATCCGCAGTCTTGCCTACAACCTGTCCGGGTTGACTTACAAACCCTGCATGGCCAATCAGTTCACATTTGTCCCTCAAGTCATCGCGCAATTCGTACCCGCAACCAAGACCAAGATCTAATACTCTGTATTGTTCAAAGAACGCTCGCTCTGTTAAGAAGTCTAAGTTACAGCTTCGCCCTCGCCTCTGTGCTCTTGTGACCATCACCCTTGATCTCCCAGTACTCCCTGACTTTGGCCCTCGCAACCTCGACCGCGCCGGCATCCTCAACAGTGCTCGGCACCTGCACCTCCTTGTCAAACTCGCCGTGGACCGCGTTATCCAATAGCTCCCTCAGGACACGACGCAAAGTCTTACCGCTGCGTGTCTTTGGAATCATGCCCTTCCCCTGGATGAGCCCGCCCAGCGTCGCGATGGCGCCGACCTGCGACCGCACCAGCGCCTGAATCTCGTCGGCGAGCTTGCCGTCGGGCACTGCCGAGGTCGGATGATCGGGCGTCGAGAGCGTGATGAAGGCGAAGGGGAGCTGGCATTTAAGGGCGTCTGGGATACCGACCACGCAGGCCTCGGCTACGAGGGGGTGGGATGTGATGGCTTGTTCGAGGCCGCCTATGTTGTACACTCATCAGTCTTCCTACTCACATTTCAATGTCAAGGGAAAGTAAAACCTACCGCTGGATAGACGATGGGCGCTGACATTTAGCACATCGTCGTTCCGGGACATGACGTTGACGTAGCCCTCGGCGTCAATATAGCCCGCATCTCCTGTATCCAGCCATTTCCCATCAAAGCGCTTAAGGTATCCTTTGTAAAATCGCTCCTCGTCCTGCCATAGCGTCCTGAAAGCTGTCGGCGCGAGTGGCAGGCCGAGGACGATGTTCCCCATCGTGCCTCTGGGCACCTCGTTGCCGGCATCGTCCACGATCCGCACGTCGAAGCCCGGCATCGCTTTCCCAGCACTGCCGGGCTTGATCTTGGGCGGAGGATGGTCCCGGACGTCCGTCTTCCTGTCTTTCCCCGCGTGCGGCACGAGAGCTCTCCCCGTGATCGGGGAGCCTGCTTCGGTAGACCACCAGTTGTCAACGACGTGGGCGTCGACTGCTCCGTATCGCTCGAGGAGCTCCTGGTACATTGTGATGATTGCCGGCTCGGACCGCTCCCCGGCGAGGAAGAGACCCTTGAGGGTCCGGAGACCTCCGCGCTCGCCCACTTGCCTGAGGAATTTGTTCTCGGGGTCGTCGCGCTTGATGGCGCGCAACGCTGTCGGGGCCGTGAACATGGTGTTCACCTTGTACTCCTCTACTATTCTCCAGAAGGCCGACGCGTCTGGCGTCCCGACCGGCTTGCCCTCATAAAGCACCGTTGCCGCGCCGGTGAAGAGAGGGGCGTAGGCGATGTAGCTGTGCCCAACGACCTGTATCACCAATCGTTAACAATGATAACAACAACTTGTTGTGAGAATGTGTGGTCTCACCCATCCGATATCAGAAGCCGTAAATGACACACACCCGGGACCGTGGATGTTGAAGAGATAGCTGATCGACAGATGGAGGCCCACGGCGTGACCGGCAGCGTCTCTCAACACCCCCTTTGGCGACCCCGTCGTCCCGGACGTGTGGATGATGTATATCGGATCCGTTGACTTGACCGGCACACACTCTGCCCTGATCCCCCTCGCACGACAGCTCTTCACGATGCTCTGCCAATTCCGCTCGCCGTCGTTTCTCTTGATCGGATGCCATCGGATCTGCTCCCGCTGCCAGACGATGACTTTGTCGGGTTTGTGGGAGGAAATGGCGCATGCCTCCTCCACGAGAGGCTTGTAACTCATCGGCGGCTTGTTGCCGTCGATGCCGCACGATGCCGTGAGGATGGCCACGGGCTGTGAGGCCTCTATGCGCTGAGCGAGCGCGTTGGGCGCGAAGCCGCCAAAGACGACAGCGTGGATCGCGCCGAGACGGCTGACGGCGAGGATGCCGATGAGGGCGGCAGGAATCATGGGCACTGGGAACCCGTGTCAGCTTCTCTTACAAACTCACAGAAACTTCCGAGCGGCTCCCGGTGAAAAGATTGGTCTTACTATACACTAAGACCACATCGCCCTTCTTGACGCCCTCTTCCCTCAGAGCCCCGGCGAACACCTCAACCTCGTCGAGGAGCTGCTTGTATGTGAGCGTCTGCTTTGTTCCGGTGACCGGGCTGTCGTAGAAGATGGCCGGTGCATCGCCCTTGCCGTCGTGGACGTGTCGGTCGACACAGTTGAAGCAGGTCGAGATCTCGCCGTCTGGGAACCACTCCCAGGAGTCGTGAGTGACGCCGCTCTTGAGCGTCTTCTTGGTAATCTTTAGCGTTGATGTGGGTTTCTTGTGCCAATGCAGATGTTCCGCCTGATGAGACCAGAAGCCCTCAGGATCCTCGAGTGAGTGCCGCAGGACCTCATCCTGGGGGTGAAAGTTGTCATTCATATTTGAAGCGGTGAATCTTGTGTAGTTGATTGAACGATCCAAAGCATGTAATAAGGCAATTGCACTTTCACGATGAAATGGGCTCACACACAGTCTATAAGCGATCCGATCACAGCGCATGAAGCAGGGAGCACGACGTTGGCCTCGGCTCTCTGAGGCGTCCCGGGCAGCTGGAGGTTTGGGAAAGGGTTGAGACGGATGTATCACGGAGAAAAGAGACATAAACCATGGACGATTGCTGACGTGCTCTCTCTACGGTAAATGCGCTGGCGCTGAGAGGCAGCTTCCCCGCATTCCGTTGCCCCGGGGTAGATGGGCGCCGCCCATCGTTGCCGACCACACCGACGTCTCCAACCGAACTTGGCGGCTTCCTTCGGCCGGGGAACCCCACGGGGTTACATGCGCGTCGATCATAACTAACTATTGCGCTGTGAAAATATGATTGAACAGTGATTTGAGGATATGCATGAGTTGCATGCCTTTTTGGCAGACTGGGGACGTTGGAATTTGGAGTCGCCGAGAATGACTATCAACAAGTTCACGGGTTCAAGTGCAATCAGCTAACCTTCCTGTTGTAGTTGCGGCTGGTCTTTGACAAGAACAGTTGCGACGAATATTTCGGAAACATGGAAGCCAGAAGGCAAATTGGAGTTAGTCGTACGGAACAGGCCGAGTTTCCGCGGTTTCCTAACGGCAACGTGCTCCGTCCTTCAAAGACGAGAAATCGCCGACTTTACCCCATAAACCGATGAGATCTCCGCGAAAGGACCCCACTGGCTCCCCGCGAGACCCATCCTTCCCGTAGATTCTCCTCGGCTCACCGAGCTATTGTCATTGAACTGAATGCAGCAGACAGGTCCTCCAACGCTTTCGATGGCTTGGCCACCTATAACCATCACGCAAGACACAACTTGCTTCTTTGCTGACGTCGGGTGCAGGCGACCTCGTCGGAGAGTAAACCAGGAGGCTGAGTCCATCATGAGGCCGAGACAAGAACAGAAGAAAAGAAGCCGCCTGATGGCAGAGGCAAGGGGGCAAGTAAGGGCATCTTAGGCAACGTTAGGCTTTAACGGTGGCAGCGTTTCAAGTCAGGCCATGTCCAGAATGCTCCTTTCCCTCATGGTCCCTGAAGAACGCACGCGAACGAACGGGAGCAATTGAAGCCATAGCCAGGTGAAACAGAGAAGAATACACACAACCGCGCTCAAATGCAACCAATACCAATTTGACAAACCTACCCAGCTCTTCTTAGCAATTATTCCACTTTTCGTTCACAACCCCCCGCGGACTAAAGCAAACCGCGTATTGTTTCATGCACCTCTTTTCGTGAATCCAAATTAATGAAGATCGGCGTGACGAGGCCCGGACAAGTTGCTAATCTCGCTTTGCTGCGGGGTGTTGCTGGCCTTGTGGGAACGGGCATGGGGTGTCAGGAAACGAGTGATGGGGGTTGAAAAAAAGGCCTCGTTCTCCAAGGGCCCCCAAGGGAGGCGGATTAGAGAATTGCCATTTACCAAAGATTCAGGAGAGGTGCTTCCAGCACTTGTTTCGCGGGAAACGCAATCTTATTATCTCGTCTCGGGTTCTCTTCTGCAGTCGTGCATCTTGATTTGACCGCATGATTCTGGCGCTCCAGCTGTCTGGCTTGTCAAGTACCAGGTTGTTGCTGGCCCAGGATCTGAGGACATCCATCCATTTGCTGCGTGCTCTCTCCAATGCGAAATGCAGTAGGTTCCACCCATCCATCTTCCGACGTCCCGTCCAATCCGACCTCCCCAACCAACCCACCGCCCAGCGCTGCAAAATGCAGGTACGGCACAGTGGCGGCGCCTTGGTGGTCCCGACGTCCCCTGAAAAGAAAACCGCCCGATAGGGATGGACGAGATTGAGCAGACCAAACAACCTTATCCAAGGGGGAGGGACTGACTGCACTGCAACGACACGAGGCGGTCAATCACTCCAGGGGAGGGAGGCCAGGCGGCGGCTGCAGCTTTCAGGCCGTTCAGCTCTCGGCCTCAACGCGTCTCATCAGCTTCGCCGTCTCCTTCTAGCCTGCCCGCCTCCGTCCTCGTGCAGTTCAGCTGCGTGCTGCTGCGGCGTCGGATGAGAAGGGAAAGAAAGGAACGAGAACGCCCGCTGCTCACCTTCGAGAAACGCCAAGATGGAACCACCCCCATTTGCAACCTTCTCCTACATCCTTTCGATCAGAGTTCGAAGACGTACCTGAGGATGGTTTGCGCTCAGGCTAGGGCGTCTTCCCTTGCGTTGTGTGGTATTTTTGTGTCTCGACGGTCGACGATGGGCGCTGGTCCGTCCACGCGTGTTGAGATCCGACCCGGCACGGCACGCACGTTGTGTGGCGTCCGCGTCTCAAACCGCCATTCCTTTCCGCGCCGCTTCGATGTCTCTGCACGGCTTCGAGAAAAAGGGGAGGAAAACCTTGGATCTAAATCGAGAAACATTGTTTCTTAGAGTCAATCGGGCGAGGCGCTTTTGTTTGGGCCTTTGCGGGATCACTAGACTCCAAAAAGTTCGAGTCAGATCTTTTTGTCCGGTGAGTCGCTGCGAGTGTCTTTCGTCTTTGCTGTGGAATGAAGGTCATGTTGCGCGATGCATGTTATGCCCGCGGAGTCAGTTCTCGATCGTCGACAACGAAGCACAGCTTGACGTCACCTCGTAATTGCTAGCTTCACGAAGAGTCAGATCAACTCCACATGATTCAAGTATAGAAATTCCGCAATCTGATTGTGGCATCCTGGAATGCTGTCAACTCGGGAAGGGTCGTTGGCAATCGTGAGACGACCGTGGTTCACCTGCAGGGAGGACAGAAATTGTACGTGGCGGACCAAAACTGGTCTCTCAGCAATGTTCTATTGGGCGTACTCAGAGACACTGTGGGAATTGACAAGAGACCATAAAACATCCACCCATTTTCTGCTGAAGAGAACTCGGGGTTTTCCATGCTCGCCGTCTCAATACAAGATATCGACATGATCAAAAATTGTACACGAATGGAGATATTAATGTTGGCGGAGGGCTGGCGAACATGGTGGGGAAGCGCTTCGAGAGAAGAATATAGTAGATTTAGACTTTGTCAACAGACAATCTGCTGCGAAGGGGAAGACAGTGGACAACAGATGACCTATCGTGAATCGCATTATATTCCCATTAAGCCTCCCGAAAAAAGCCTTTTTGGTGGTATGGACCGCACACATTTGGTGATAATCCTCAGTGGGCGCGTTGATTTGTGTGGAAAACGGAGCCTCCTCAAACAACCCGAGACAAAACCGTTTGTGTTAGTGGTAAGCAAGTACAAGAAGTTGGCAGTATTGACAGGACTGCTACGACCAAGCCTGGCCAGAGGAAAAAGTAGTCTTTCCAAGCGCGCAAGTCGTAGCTGCCGTGATAAATGTACCGGGTATTTTCCGTGGTCGCGTAGAGTGATGTTCCTTCTCGCTTCTCTTTTGACTCCCCAAAGTTCTCTATATTCCCGAAACTCCTCTCCCTTTCGTCCCTTAGAAAACAAACACAACCATCCAAGCTGATGGAAGGTTCACAACCGCTCTCCAGTCATTAGATGTCGTAGGCTCCCACGAATTAGGATATTATCGTACTTGCGTAGGGGGAGACGTGGATGGCGAGGCGTGACCATGGTTGATTTAGAGGACGAAGGCAGCGAGACCGAGGACACCGGCCAGACCGGCACCGGAGAGGGCAGCGGCCTTGCCAGCACCGGCGGTAGGGACGGAGACGGGCTTGGTGGGGGTGATGGCGCCGGTGGCAGGGGCGGTCTTGGAGACGGCGGGAGTGGCGATGGGGATGGTGGCGTTCTTGGTGGGAGCGGTGCAGGTCTCGCACTTGACGATGGAGGAGGTGATGACCGGCTTGGTGACAGTGCAGGGGCAGTCAGTGATGGTCAGGGTGGTGGCCTGTGGAGGTATGTTAGCTGGATGTTGTTGCGCATGTTGAAGATGAGGCTGAGCGAGGCCCTGGGAGAGATCGCAGAGATTCGCGGTGATCGGCGCTGAGCGTGTTCTTGCTGATCATCCCCGCGTCTCTCAGGAAACTCCCGTTGAAGCCCGGCCCAGCCTCCAGATTCGTTAACGTACCGAGGTGACGGTGTAGGTCTTGTCACCGTGGGTGATGACAGTGGCAGCCGGGCAGTAGGTGGTGTAGGCAGAGACGACCTCGGTGACGTAGGTGATGTTCTTGTTGGCCATGGCGCCGGCGGCGAAGGCAAGGACAGCAGCGGAGAACTTCATGTTGACGGTTTGGGGGGAGGGTTGGTTGGAATTAAAACTCGAAGAGTTGTAGTTGCGGAGTGGTTGAGGATTAGGGCGTTGGTTAACGAATGAAAGCGACTAAAAAGTCTGGGTCGGTATTGGTAAGTGAGTGTGGGTGAGGAGGGAAAGAGAACAGCAGTCGGGATGGTCTGGAGGAAATGGACTTATATACAGATATGGACGCAACACAACATGGGGACTGGGACTGGGTTGGGGGTGGTGGTGGACTACCTTAGTCCTTAGTGTGAAGTGTGGATGAACCGCTGCCAGCACCAGGCGTGTACACTATTCGTAGGCGTGTGCTACCTCGCCTTGCAGCAGGGTAACGGACGGTCCGCCGTACGAATAGTTCAGCGGTGCCTCTGCCCGGCCATGACGGGAGTGGAGCATCTCACTTTGGATCTCCTGCTTCTGGAGATGAGAAGAGGAGCGAGCTGGACCGGGAGGTGCGAGGAGGGCACACGCCGTCTGGCCCCTGGTCCCCTGCTAAGATAGGCTTGCCAGGGGGCCCGGTTTTCCTGTTGTCTTTTCCCTTGGACTGACCAGCTTATTTCATTTTGGACAAATCAGAAGCGAGCAATCTGAGCGAGCTTCTGGGACTGGGGAGTGAACACGAAAGGAAGGCTGTACAGTGGTGGTTGTGGATGAAGGTGGACGACGGTTGAGAAAGGGGGTGGATCTCGTTCCTCTGCTGTCTCTCTCGTGGTGTTTCTAGGTTTGTGGCTTTGGCAACGGGGAATTGGCTTGACTGGCTTGGGACGACAAGACTAGATTCATTGGCGCCCCTTGGCTTTATCGAGCGGAAAACGGGAGTGGAAGTGATTTGGGTGGTGTGGTTGCGCAGACAAAAGAGAAGTCGGCTAAACATGGGAGGCCAGCCTAGAAGAGCGGTACGTACCCCAATTTTGGGTGGGTACGGGACAGATCAGGGGTGCACAAGTGGGTGTAGGATATGCATTGAAAGGGGAGAGACCTTGTGGAGAGGGGGAAGACAGAGTGAGAGAGAGTCGAAGACTGGAAATCATTTGCCCATTCACTCCACCTGGTCATGACTGACCACTTAAGAGTCGGAATGAGTGAAATAGCACGGCAGCAAAAACCATGCAGTAGAATGGGCAGACAGTGCGGGAAGGTGCCTCAAGCGCTTGCTTTGCCCGATGGTTCGTTGTCTTCGTTTGCAACTTGACATTCGCAACAAGACAACTCAGAAACACACCTGGATACTTGAAATCAGTTCGTTTCCAGTCCAGCCCAGCCGGTGAGCCACTGAACCAACCCGAATCTGCAAGGAGGTCGGTCGAGCGAGATGAGTCGATTCAAAACCGCTCAAGGAAGCAGAGAGGGCAAGGTAAGCTTGGTTAATTTCGGTGGGGTCGATCATCAACCAGCACCAAGACTGCCAATAGTCGTACGCAATGCCAATGCTTGTCCTCACATGCTGGGCTTCGTTGTCACTGTCCAACTGTTCCTGGGCGGACATGCCTGTTTGACGGCGGGGATGGTTTGCTTGACGTGCAGCCGTGATCCGAGATTCCAGACCGCTCCTGTCGACCGTCCTTAGTATTCGTATCTTTTATTTGACTGCAGAATGCGCTGCAGTCTCCCTTGTCGTGCTATTCGTGGCTCACGATGCCTGGACGCGCCCGACACACTGATGGTTGGTATTGCCATCCACCAGTCTGTGATTCCAGCTGCATTTCTGACCTGGTGCATGCTGCAGCCGCTGCTGACGGCTGACTGTGACTGCGTCATGAACGGCAACCAAGTGCGCGAATCAGGTACCAGACATTGCACTAATGCAGGTACCGTCCGTCGCTGCCGTCGATAAACATTCCAGTGCTTCAGGCGAGATCGGCTGGGCCAGCTGTGCACACTTTCGGAGCCGCGGGCCTGGCTAAATCGACCAAAAATAACGAGACCGAGACCAGGCGCAGCCACCATGAGTCTCCGGAAGCTAGACATCGCGTGGCGGCTGGAAAACGGCCTTATCGAAAGCCACGGCTGGCCGAACCCGACCTCATGTGGAAAAGACGAGACTGCCGCGAACCCTAGCGATACCGGTAGGCAGGCTCGCATGCTTGTTGGCCACGGCATGGCGACAATGGCCAGCCATAGGCGCCATGAGATTTGTGCGTTTGCATGGCGTGAAACCGTTGATGAGACTATTGTCCTGAACAATGCTGTGTCCAGGTTCGCAGGTAGGGCTGCCGTCTTGGTGGTGTTCTCTAGGTACGGATAGAAATGCATGGTCAATGAGGTAGGTTGGCGGAGACGGCGAGTCGGGTTCACCGGGTGCCTGACTGTTAGCACTCACCCGACCTCACCTGCCACCCAGCCGGAAAAATATGCCGCAGTCGAGTCAGGGGTGACCCGACCTGTCCTTCACCCTGGACTTGCTGGTACCGTAGGGCCAGTGCCTTCTGTCTTCTCAATTTCCCGATTTCCCACAGTGATCCAGCATTCCCTATCAAGCACTCATGCCCGTTGTACCTAGCCAGTGCCATTGGCTAGGCAGGTAGAGAGGTGTCATCCTCCTCGCCCAAATTGATACCGTCTCTGGCGTTTCCGACCGTCATATCTGCATTCCTCAGAAGGATCTGGCAGTCTGTTGACAATGACTTCCATTGTCAACGACCCAAGACAACCACGGCAAGCCCAGAACTTCCATGGAAGGGACCAAGCACCGGGTGGAATCCTGGACGAGTCCGAATTCAGACGAAAGCCCCGTGATTAGGCCCTGTTTCGTCTGACCACCCAGCGCTTAGACCAAAACATTGGACGAACTGCAAACCTGCATTGCAAAGAATTGAGAAAACATTGGACGGCTGTCATCACGTCTCCCCCTCGGGCAATAGGGAAGCCGCGGGCAGCTCGTCCCCCGCAAGACGACCAGGGCCTCCCGCATGAGGACCTTTTACCGCGCATGTCAGAGTCTCATCAGCACAGGGGGCCAGCCCAACGGTCCCCCGGATCCCCAGGACCCTTTCCTTGCCATCGAAGATGAGTTGAAGCAAGCCAGCCGGGCCCTGACTGTCACTGTTCTGATTTCGACAGCCAACAGTATTGATTGTCCTTGCTTTTGGCGGGGACAAAGGCGGAGACCAGAATACGGTTATCGCTCGGAGGAAATCAAGATGATCAGCCGTATTCGTCAGAGCCGATATCAAGATCCAGTAGCACGTTGCAGAGATGAAAACCGCGGGCACCGATTCACGGACCCCAAGTACGGCCAGCGACATCATCGATGTTGAGGCAGTGCGCATATTGCAGATTATTCGGGCTGGACGGGAACCCGATTGAGGCACACTCAACGGTGATGGCGGCTTCTCTGCGGGCTTGGCCATCCTCCTCGTATCATGCCACGCGCTTTTTCTGTAGGCGCCGTGACCTGGAAAGCTCTTTCCAGGATCCCATCCGTTGACAACATCTTTTCAAAGGCATCCTGCAGCGTCTTCGTAGCCAAGAACCGGGCGAATGGCGAAAAATGGCACACCAAGGCGCCGACCATTGGTGATGGTTCTGCTGGGTTGGACCAGGCTGGGCGGCCCAGATGGAAGCGATCCCGGTTGTCCGCCTCTGTTGTATCTCGAGAGCCACCGAGGGCTTAGGAACGGCCGCTCCGCGCCTGGCCGTCGGCATGGCTTGGCCTGGACATGAAGCTGTCGACAAGCTTCAGTGAACAGCCTGCAAAGCATAACTGGCGAGAACCCAGAGAACACGCAAGCACCGACGCCGGTCCAGCTTCCCGCCGCGGGTCATTCGCCCCCGGTGGCCAGGCGGCCTGCAGATGGTGCCCGGTGGTGATGGTGGTGGTCTGTGCCGCAAATATGGGCTGGCCTTCCACATCATCTAATTTCCACAATACACAGACCTTGGACGACTCAGATGAACTATTGACCGATCCTCATCATTCCACCCCTCCTCCTTCTTCCTGCTCCTACTCCTACTCCTCCTCTTCCTTCCACGCTGTCAGCTCACATGTGGTACGTGGCACAGGAAGCGGATGGCATCGTGCCTGCAGCATCTTCTTCCTGCTTTTGGGCTTTAAGGAAGGCAATGGTCCGAGATAACCTCGTCGACCAGGCATAAAGGCGCCCCAAGTCCATGTCGCGTCATCATTTTTCTCCTTGTGGATGTTTTGGCGCCTTCAATTCAATATTTCCGGCCTTCGTTTTTCTCTCGATTCACCTCGTATCCTTCCGATTGGTCCCACTGGTTGTCACATTTCCGAGAAGATGCTGCACTCTCCGGCCTGCCGAAATTGACAGCTGCCATTCCCAAGGATCATTGTCCTGTCATCATCTTTTGATAGGCTCAGAGTTCCTCTTCTTTCAGCCCAAGTTACAGATTCTCCGCTTAGCACAGGATTTCCGGGGTAGAATCGACAATCTTTCGGCTGCCTGAGCCGGCCGCACATCACATCCGTGCCAAACCCCAGGTGAATCATGTCAGTTCTCTTGTGTGGGCTAGTCGCTCTACTGTTCTCATCACATCGCCTTCTGGGAGTGCGGTGGTTATTTTCAACTGCGAGTATACGATTACCCGGCCGACAAACATCAGGACTCTATGGGAAGTATGAGTTGGTCTGTCGGTTGATGAAATCCAAGTGGAAATCTAAGGACAACGCTAGCCACTCATCACGGCCGCCTGAGAAAACATCTCCATTGCGAGACCATCGTTAAGAATGTTTCCAAGTTAATCGTTTAGCAAGCAAACGCGGTCTTTTCCTGGTGGGTGCAGTCTGACAAAATCACTCTTCGAATCAAGTCCGCCACCCACCACAGGCCGGCCAGTCTCAAGGAGAAAAAAGCGTTGCTCAACGAATTTACCGCGTAACAACTGGGAATGGGACCACTCGTGTGCTCCGAGCCAACGTTTTGGCCTGGCCCGGAAAGTTCTGAAGGCTCTCGAGGCTCATCTGCTTGGTAGAGAAATCCTCAAGGGCCATTGTCCGAATCAAGTGCTACAGTCCGTCCTTG